GGGGGGGGGGGGGGGGGGGGGGTTGTGTTTGATCTCCCAGCTGGAAAAATTACAGACGATGTCAAAATAATTGTACAGGAAGCATACGAAGACACGACTTTGTCCTTGTTCAGACTAATGAACAAACATACTTTGTAGTGCTCTTCCTCACTGTGAGTACTCAAGGAAAGCTGCTCCTCATCCTCACTTGGTAAAGATCAGATTTTACTTCCAAACAAAGTCACCTGAGAGCGGTATTCGTCTATTGATTATCTTCTTTATTTCACTGATAAATGTTTGTTTGGGGAGAAAAAAACTAAGCTTCTTTAATTTCATGACCTTCTAGTAGCTCATCTCTGTTGSGACACAAACTGTGCTGATTTTCCTTGTTGTGATACAGATATCAGTGCATCACAAAAAGTGCTTTCAGAAGACTAAATAAAGAGATTAAAACCTTGCCAAAGCTTCTGAGACCTAAGAGGAGGCCCAGCTTGATGCATTAAATCAGACTAACAGCACGTCACATGGATTGTTTCTGAGAGCTACTTCTTTGCTGGTGAAGAGATTAGAGTGAAACATTTTCAGCTGTTTGTAGCTGCTGGTGACTTTTACTATAATTCTATTGTGCATTACAAATAAATACAATAAGTAGGGTTTGTTAAAGTGCTTTAATTGAGGTGAAAATTAGAAAAAAGTGATTAAAATGATTGTTTTAACATATTTGTTCAAAAGAATATTCCATACTTTATCTAAAATCTCTTTATTTTTCTCCAGATTGTTGCCTTACGGGAGCAAAATGCTCACCTTCAGAGAAAAGTTGCATCTGGAGAAGGAGGAGAGGACATCCTGGACAGCAGTGAAACACAGAAAATCCACGGCAAGGTGAGGGTCACAGTAAAATATGAGGAAAACACGGTATAAAATAAAGTTTCTGGTTAAACTTTAAGATTCAAATCACAACGTGATCTTCTGAAACGAATGTTTAAAAATAACACATTAGTTGTACTATGACATTCTCCAAATCGCAGTATGTTTTTATTCAGTCAAAATAAGTTTATTTCTGAATACACATATTTGGCAAGACGTGTCCTTGGCCAGATGAGGTGTAATTTCAATCTCATTCACTTGGTCACACTGATGCTGTTTCATATCAGGAGCATCAAAACCCAAAGCCCATGCTGGAGAACATTTACATGCAGACAGCAGTGTTTGATACCTGGATAGATCAATGGAGATACCATCACTCGCCTGGTCTGCTGCAGGCTGCAGCGCGGGGGTTAAGGATGTGTGGAGTAAAGCGATGAGCAGCGTGCACGCTGAGGCACGAGGTGATAAGAAGACGGCTATCATCTGCTGTGTTTTGTGGAGATAAAAGAAAGGACTAAGAAGGAACATGTTTGAGTTTGGCTGCGTGTAGCAGGTTGATGCGCTGAAGGAAATCGTCTAACCTTGCAGTGATGGAGAGGGTTAGTTATTCAGCATCCACCGTCAAGCTGTGACAGCAGCTAGCATTAGTGGAGAGCGACAGCCTGTCCACCTGARTTAGGAGCTGCGTGGTCGTGGTGGATGTCGGCATTAATGTGACAGGTGGAAAGAGGTCAGAGAAAGTGGAAGGTGTCCAAAAAGGCTAACGTCAGAAGCCATTTGCTCAGTCTCCTTTAGTTTCCATCAGGTAATCATTAATATTTTGCTCCCAACTCTGGTTTCTTACTCTACCTCTCTTTCTCTCCTCATTATTTACAGTCAGGTTACTCGTAATGAGATCTTGCTGTTTCACATTCTCCTACTATATCTCATCACTCAAAAAAAGATTTGTTGAATTTACTTGAACCATTTGACATAACTTAAAGTATATTCAACAAATTATTTTTTGAGTCTATATTTAGAAAAGAAAATGATGGTAAAATTTCCAGTTACGTGGTTTTTGGTGAGACTTGGTTTTCCACTGGTAAAATTTTGCAAACTAATTTCACACTTTATATATTATTTGGATCAAAAATGTCCCTTTTTTATAAATAAAATATGCATGTTAGTGAAAGAGGTGTTGACTTGTATTACATTTAGTCCCAAGGAGTTGACTTTTTGTTCCAACTAGGGATGCATTGGGATGTAAATTTTAGCAATATCCGATATAGAMATTGCTGTTGTGACCGATTATCGATATTTACACAAACCTTTTTATACATGTACAAACACACTTGTGTCTTTTTTTCAATACTGTAAAAAAATTACCAGACTGCTGACTTGGTTCGTCAACATCACTATCATGATCAAACAGGTACCACTCGACCAATCAACTCCGCTCCCAAAACAGAAACACAAACAGCAACAAGTGGGAAATCAACATCAGATGTTAATATCGGCCCAGTTTTACTTATCGGCCCGATACCGATGTTAATACCGATATATCGTGCATCCCTAGTTCCAACTGTAGACAAAATTACAATTTTGTATTCTTGTGTAGTCTACCATGTTGGTATTAAAATTAGATGTCTGATTTTATTTGGTTCTTTTTCCTGTTTATTTGAATCATTGGTTAAAGGCACCAGTCAGAGAGACCAAAGGTTTGTTTTCACAGATGGGTGGCTGTGAATAGACAGCTGCTCCTGATACATTATGTAGACTTCCACCTTTACAGTATTCACACTTAACCATCAAAAAACAGTGAGTAAAATCTGCATTCAGGCTTAATTTCTGTGCCGTGTTGATGGTTTCCGATACGATTCAGAATCGCTCGTACGCTGACTCGTTTTGCTTTTCATTAATCTACCTCATGCAGAGATCAGGGGAGCTGCAGAGCAAAAACCCTGCAAAAACTAATCAGATTACTAATGCAAGTGTCAAAGCAATTTCTCCAATGGCGCCTGAAGTAATTCTCTGTCAGATTCTCAGCCTGTTACCTTCCAAAACGAAAACAAAACGAAGAGCAGAAGAGCTAAGGTGTTTGAAGTCATTAGTTTCAATGTGTGAAACACAAAAAGCAAACAGGTAAAAAAAGCAGTTTAATGCTCAAAAAGTCAAGGTGGGAAATGCAAAATTGTTTTTATTTCATAGTTTATTCTTGCCTTTAACATCCCAGTTGTCATTTTTATCTGATTTTCTTTTGCATATTATTTTATCTTATTCCATCAGGACTTGTGCACCCCAGCAGCAAAAACACATTTTATTGTATTTAATCTACAGTTGTTAGACTTCAACCTATGCAATCACAATGTGGTTTATAATCTCTTTTTGTAGTATGTTTGGTTTGGATCCAGCAGAATTACACTTCTAACATTAAAGCACCCAGATTGCTTCAGTGCATTTTCCCAAACAGATCATTTTGTTTTAGTTTACTACAACAATCCTAAAAGTGGCCTATGCTTGTATTGTACAAGCAAACAAGATGTCATCTCATTTTTCTGCTTAATTTGGGCCAAACCAGCCTCTAAGTGGGCATTATGCAAATGATGTTTGGTGATGAAAACCCGTGATGGATTAAACATTTGTGCTGCAGGAAGAAAAACAGCAGTTAGTGTTGACTTTGTAAGTTTGCACAAAAAGGCTAGATAACTGAAAGTGAAAAATAAAATAAAAAAACGAGGAGGAAAACCTTAAAGGGCCAATATTATGTGTTTCTCAGGCATATATTTAAATACTATACCATAATAAAGTATCCATGTCATCTTTAGCTG